TATAAATTATAAGAACCTTGAATATTTTATATCAACACATATTTTAAATCAATAATAAGCTTATTGGAGCATGTTTTTTTCAAGATTCGAATTCAACATTATTTATTAACTAAAAAAATAATAAGATTTGTCAAATACACTCTCTATACAATCCTATCTTATAGCGAAGGAAAAAAAATGATGTTTTTGATTAATAATAGATAATTTTTTTAAAGCCAAAGTAACATTATCTTTGAGTAATAAAATCAATATTAATTGTTGATTCAAATTTTATTAAGCAAGTTCAATAAAGTATGTCTTTTGATCCTCTTATTCATGATATTAAGTAAAATTCTTCAAAGTCTTATAATACTTTCAAATTTTAATTCAAAAAAAATCTACTATAATTTGAGAATAATCTATTATATTTTAAAAGGTGAAGCTTAATTATGTATTCTTCAAACTTATCATGGCTTTTTAATAGCAAGACATTTTAGATACAATAAGACTTTGAAAGTAATATCTAAATATTTTTGATGGCCCCAAATGAAGAAGTCACTTAAAGATTTTGTACAATCTTGTGATATTTCTTCAAGATCAAAAATTCCTTGTTATTGACGTTATGAACTTCTTTAGCCATTATCCATTCCAAAACAACCATAGGCTTTTGTTTCTATACATTTTATCATAGATCTTCTAGTCTTAGGTTTTTTTGACTCTATATTTGTGATAATAGGTCATTTCACTAAGATGACATATTTTGTACCATATATAAAATCTATCACAAGTAAAAAAACAATCAAGTTTTTTTTTTTGACAACATTAATTGCTATCATGAATTACTTAAGGATTTTATATCAGATATGAATACTCAATTTGTATTAAGCTTTTGAATAATAATTTTTAAGATTTTAAAGATAGATATAAAACTATCTTTAGCTTTTTATCTTCAAACTAATGGACAAACAAAGCATGTAAATCAAGTTTTGGAGCAGTATATAAGATATACCATCAACTATCAATAAAATGATTAGAAAACTCTTTTGCTTTTAGTAGAATTTGCTTATAATAACACAATATATTCTTCTACATAACAAACACCTTTCTTTGCTAATTATGATTATCATCCATGATTTGATACTTTTGACTTTTTAAAAATTAATAATCTTATAATAAAAGATTTAGTAACCATTTATTTGAACTATATATAACAATGAAGGGACAATTAAAAGAGACTCAAGAAGAATAAAAGAACAACATGGATGCCTATCTTAAATAACAACTTCATTTTTACATTGTTGATAAAATATGATTGCTTTGTCATAATATTAAAACTATTCGTCTTTGTGACAAGTTGAATTATCATAGACTTGGATTATTTTCTATTTATAAATAAGTCAATCTAATCACTTATTAATTACATCTACTAGAGTCTATGAAAATCCATCTTATATTTCACATATTTTTTTTTGGAGCCATATAAGATAGTGAATATCTTAAGAAAAAAGCAAATACTATTGCCTCCTATAGAAGTAGATAATAATCAAGAATTTGATGTAGAAGAAGTCTTAGACTTGAGTCGGCACCAACTTAGGTTGGAATATTTTATTCAATAGCACAAATAGAATATTAGCAAACATATATAAGAGTAAGCAAAAAATCTTACAAATGTAGCAAAGAAGGTCAAAGCTTTTCATCAACAATATCTATCAAAACTAAGATAAAGGATAACAAACCTTTTCTATAAAAGAAACATAATTTAGAAAAGTTTGTATTCTACTATCTATCTTTCTATGTAATTTCTATGTAATTGTTACGTTGAGGAAATGGAGAATCAACAACCAACACATTCAACTAAATAGCCATTATTTGCTGATTTACTAGACAAGACATTGCAATTATCATAGTCTTTAAGAGCAACATGTATTTTTTCAAATACATGACAACATACAATGCATTTAATTACATGACCTAGAAAAAAAAATCTCAATGTTTGATGATTTTATTGGAGGTAGGAATAACTCTTGATGGTATTATATATGTTTTGTTTGAAGGGAGTTATGAAGGTCTCAAAAATGATCAAATAATAAAGTGGTCTTCCTACCTTAAAATGAGATATTATTAATGGGTGAGAAGACCTATCAACTACCTTCAAATGGTATAAAGATTAAAATACATGACAAATATAATTTGCCACATCTTAAACTTCTTTGGTATGTGATTATCGATCCTCATAGAATTCGCCCCTAGAACGAACATAATGTCATAGACATATATTTATTATGATTGTTATCTAGGTGATATGAATATATAGAAGTAGATAAAACTAGATTAATTTCATAATATCTTTTAGGAAAGCTTTGTAGAAACTTTATAGGTGCTGCTTTTACTTTACATGTATTTATAGTTGATTGATAGGTTAGAAACTTGGTGAACAAGTTAAAAATTATTAGAATCAATCAAACATAATATCTTTAAATAATTAAATAAACTCATATTTACTTTGAATACTATAATCATAAAGATTTGTATTTTTTTTTATTTATCAAGCTATAGATTTAAATATATATATACATATACATATATATATATATATATATATATATATAAATATATGTATGTATTTTGGTAGCTTTTAAATCAAGTTTTATTCATTTTGATTACTCATATTTAATATTTAAATTAGTAATTATTAATATTTTTTAAAATATGAAATTTACATTGGATGAAATAATACTTACATGTATATAAATTATTATTATTTTATAGTAAGTCTTGGAAAGATTTTAAAAATTGACTTACACTATTATAAAAAATTGTTGTATGTTTTGTTCATTGAGTTGAATGCAAATTCTATTTATAGATTTATAGCAGAGTTAAGTTCTTTAACATACACATTAGATTAAAATTTGTAAATAAATATCATACAATTGCATTAAATACATACACACAATCGTATATATATATATATATATGTATTCACATACATTCGCCCATACATGTGGATTAGACAAAATAAAATTTACTTTTAGTACTGATTTGTTTTCATTAGTTTATATATTTTGATTTTTTCTTTGTAATGGTTATAGATCTTAATTACAGTAATATATATACATGTATATACCATAAATATTAAACTGTCGAACCAAAAACTTCAATTTGTGATATTTATTATTACACATATCTATGCATGTATTTTAATACATAACATAATCCTAGAAACTCTAAGTTGACTTTCACAAGAAATTTGGATAACTTACACGTTTTTACAGAAATCAATATGAATTGTTGAAACGTTTTGAGTTTGAAAATGAACTTAAAAAGTTGTTTTGCCATCTTGAAAATATCATGAAAAGAAATTGCTTCTTAACAACTTTGTTTTAGGTCAGTACAATTACCACTGTTCCAAAGTCTTCTGATAAGGGACCTCGTGAAGTGTTACAAAACCGTGTGTTACTAAACCCTCGCACGGCCACATCAGGAGTACAGCGTGGCCCTTCAGTCGACCCAACCCCAAAGTGAGCTTTTTAGGGTTAGGGCTTCGCCAATGTCACTCTTTCTATTATTTGCCTACTTGTCCTATTGCACGATCGCCCCTGTGGCCTTCATGAGGTGAGCTTCGTCCCGTATACAGTTCTTTCGGGCGCCGCACTCAGTATTTTTTGTGTTCCTCGCGTTTCTGCCGGTGTTGATAGGCTGCCTCCACAGGTAAATTTCTAAAACCACGCTTCATTGCTAGTTTTGAGGTTGTTATGTATTGCATCAGGGTTGCGAAGTTAGTTTTCTGCTTGGTTGTGGGATCTTAGGGTTAGCTTAGTTCGGAGATGATTTAGTTGAATTTTGGAGGATTCTGGGTAGTTAGCATTGGAGCTTCTCCATGTTTCCTGCATTGAGTTTTTCATTCGCTCGATAGCAGGTAAGATGGCCAAGTCCAAGAATCACACCGCACACAACCAGTCCTACAAGAACCACAAGAATGGTATCAAGAAGGTTAAGAAACACAAATATGCCTCAAGGAAGGGGGTGAGTATCTTGCTTAGCTTTCTTTTTTTAAATTGTTTTTATTATTTCATCTAGTTTCGTTATGTATCACAACCTCAAATGTCCAATGTGATTTTGGTGATCCAGTCGCCTTAGGTTTGGCTACCCGATCTGCGTTGTAGTATTTGCGCAGTGTGTTCTTGTTGCTGTCTCTTAGCATCTGCACCGTAGAGCGTTTTTTGAGGCGTGTTCGTTGATGGCGCAGATGGACCCCAAGTTCTTGAGGAACCAGAGGTATGCCAAGAAGCATAACCGATCGGGTGCCGCCGACGAAGTTGAGTCTGCGGAGGAGTAGATCTTGTACTTACACCTATTTTTGTCGAGATTGCCTCTCAACTCTAAGCTATCCTATTTCGGTGTTTTAACATTCTGAAAAATCTCCTTTAAAGGCTTTTTTGGTTTCCTAACTTCCTTCTATTCGATTCTCTCTATTTTGAGTTCACTGATGGAGGTCTATCTCTCGGTTGGTATGCTCTGGTCGATCGAGCCATGTTGGAAGCATGACGTATTGCTAAGATATTTTAGCATGTCTGATGTCCATTGTGTATTTACTGTTTGCAAAAGCCCGTCATGATCGTGTTCGGTGATAGTTAGGTGGAGGATTATGTTTGGACGGGCTTTTCTCTTGATAACTTAGGAATTGAGGGCCTCAAACTGTGTATGTAGGATAAGCTTTGAAAGTTACACTCAAATGCACTTTGCTTCGGGATCTGGAAGACATTGATGTCACTACCATCAAGTGAAAATGGAAAATAAGATACGACTTTCACTCGAACTTGGGGGTTTTGAGTTCTGATATTGCCACTGAATTAAATTTGGAATTCCGGGAAATCAACCAAATTCTGTTGCAGGGAACTCTCAATTGTGTAGCATTAGAGGTAGAAACCGAGATGTAGCTCCAAGTTAGTGGTTTAAAACATCAGGGGTAATCCACAGAACTCAAATTTCTTCCCGAACATAGCTTCATAGGATACGTTCGGTGAGGAAATTCAGGTGCAGCATTACTGGTTGATGAACGCATCCAGTTATACTCACACTTTTTTAATCAGGAGAATTGAATGCACATTGAATCGATTTCAATCTGTGGGAGAAAGCTTACTGAGTCTTTCAGATGCTAACTCAAGGTTGCCCTTGACATCATGGCTCGCAATATCAATGTTATCTCTCACTGGTGTAGACGGAACAGTCAGTGGAGCCACCTCAATGACATCCACTATTGACTCCTTCCTTAGAACCCTCTCTAATGACTTGAGGTCTGAAGGACCTGTCTCTACAGAATTTCCATCAGGTCTTCTGAAGGATAACCTGTGACTAGGATCGGATTGGCAACTGTTGCTTGATGATGAAGCTGCAATGTCCTCACTGCGAAGCCGAGGACGGTCTACATCATCATTGCCTCGTTGCCTCACTGTGCCTTCAGTTTCCGCCATGGAATAGCTACTCACTCTTTACAGGCTCCTGCAGCCCTACTTTATCACAGAATCCCCCAATCAGAAATGTTATTCTTTATAGAATATATAAGGGGGAGGTGGGAAGTCGATGACCAGCTTGACTGTTAAATTTGATTGCTATTTCTCAAGCTCAATTTACACATCTAATGTTGAGCTTACCTGGCATCTGCAGACCATCAGGTCCATTCTTCCCAGGTCCACATCGCTTTAGGTTACGGTTGCATCAGATAATGGTTCTCGGAACTGGAATAATTCAGGGGATATTCAATACATCTTCATGTACGAACATTTAATGCACAGGCACTGACACTGAAAGGCCCATATTGAATTGCACTAGTCTTGGTAATGAAGAGACAAAAGGCAGTCTCCAAAACAGATCGGAATGTAACCTGAGAAACCTCTTTACCATGTAAACTAATTCTACGTGGATGTTAAAACTACACCTGATAACGCCTTCACTGAAACCTTACTGAGACGTCAATGACAGCTTCGGTCCACTCAACATGGAAATCTTCCTGCAGATGCGAATACTTGTACCTGTAACATAACTTCATTATGTCAAGTGAATCCATCGTCAGTCGGTCTGGTAAAGTATATTGTAAATAGGATCATAATTCAACTCTACGACCTGTTGTGTAAAATGGCTATGAGAAGTTGAAATCTTTAGGCATCGCCGCAAGCTTTGTTTTGGACTGTGGAAGAATCGTTTAACCAAGGATATTTGTTCAAGCTTTGAGGACAATAGCCATGCCCGATCAAACGCACATACAATCTTAATTGTTGAGGATTGCTGACTTAAAATTGGTGTTTATATTTGCTGTGATTCCCACTAACAGTCCAAGCCTGAAGTTATGAAGATACTCGGTTTGCCTCTCAAGACTTGGGAGGAGGTTGGAATCCACGAACCGCCTCTTCCCATCAACAGTAAATCAGAATTTCTCGTAAACTTGCGATATCAGGATTGTAAGCTGTGGTGGACTAGAAATAAATCTTGAACATATTGCCCTGTCATCAAATTTGATGGACCGAGACCACAAATAAGCAGGCAGGGCTTCCTTATCAAGATCCATTGGATAAAAACAATATCAAAACTGTGCTTGGACAGCGATCAATAATTCTGCAGCGAGTGAAAAAAATCTACCTGAAAACAGCCATCGCAGTTAAACTAAACCAACAAAGTATGATGCGCGTGAACAGTAGCGGCAACCTGTGTAGTTCTCGTTTTAGATTTGAGTGAAATGCGATCTAACCGAACCATCATCATACAATCCCTGACACTCTTATCAAAAAAATTAGGATAACAGCTCATCACAAGACGAAATTGGTTGTGTTTCACTTTAAGGTTTGCATTTAAGATCGTTAACATACATTGCAACCCTTTATCTCATTCTCTGGTGATGACCATGCCAGATTCAACATGTTCATACAAAGGGATTCTGATGATCAACGACGGATTATTTCTTAATCCATATGAGTAATCGTACTTGCAACTCTTCACACCTTGAATTGTGAAGTAGCTGCAATCGTCGTGAACAATAACAATCTCTCATCCAGATTTCAAAATTAAATTTCTGGAGTGAGGACGATCCTTTCCTTTCCTCGAAGCCAAACACGAAGGGAAAAGGAGGAAGGTGTAGAAATGTAGAACCTCGACTCAGGAACTTAAAGTGATCGCATGGACAGGGGGAGTGAAATGCAAAGAGAAAACATCAAAGACATGCTTGCATGGGAAGAGCTGAAAGACACCAATCGAAGCGGTTTCGAATTAATCAATGTGTCCCAAAACCCTAAAGGTCCCATGGGTTTGGATGATCTCATTCATCTCTCACAACATGATCTGCGGGACAACAGTGCACAGGTTTGCTCTTAAAATTGCTTGAAAAGAAGTAAACTCGCCGAGGAGGAATCTATTCCTTCCTATTCTACCCTGTTTCACACAGACCCCATTGAAAATGGATGTGAGGGATTTGATTGAAGAATGAGCAGCCAGGTGTATGAATCTACCGGCTAGAAACGCGGGGACCGGTTAAACCAGTGGCCATCACTCTCGTTGTCAAGCTCCAGAGTTCAGTGATACTTGTACCGATGACAAATTGATGAGCAGTAGCTTTTGGGACTCATTGCAGCGTGTAGGTTGCGCAGAGTGGATCCGGGAGAAAGCATTGGTTGTTCGTGTGTCCCTTCGTGCGGCCTGGTGCCTGAGATTGATCACAATCAGGAACCCTAGGAATTTCAGAGCGTTTTTTGGGATCTCCTGTGTAAGCTCTAGTGTATCTCTGAGGCTGTTAAAATTTTTAACGGTGAGGATGGAGGGTTTTGGGTGCCCCAGTGGCCTGTTCTTCATGATTCTATTATCTCTGCTGGTCATGAAGCTGATCGCTGTTTCGGGCTCCCAGGTATTAACTAATCGAATTATGTGAGTAGAGCTCTTTGTAAAACCTATCCGTTTTACCAGTTTTTGTTTTTGTTTGTTTGTTTGTTTGTTTGTTTTTTTTTTGTTTTTTTTTTGTATTTTTGTTTTTTTTGTAGATTCAGCATGTGAGGGATGATTCAAAAATTCGATAAGTGTATACCCGCCACTTAATGGGAAACTTAGATTTAAGCGGTGGGTTTCATTTCTAAATCCTGAAATTCTAAAGCTAGATTTGTCTTGGCGGATCGTTTTCCACCCATCGCACAGAGGTTGTCAAGGGTTTTTGGTGTGTTTATTTTGTCCTCAAGTCTGTAACTCCCGTCGAACATGTTTCGAAAGGAGTATCTACCTATCTATCCATCTATCTATATTCTGCTCTGAGCATGAGTCATCACACTCTGCAAATTGAATCCACTCTAGTCTAGCTGTTGTTTATCGTTTGCTTCTCTTTACACATGTATCAATTAAACGTATTTCGGCTGTCTCTGAATAGTGATGCTGAGATGGTGGAGAGAAAAGTGAAGTTAAGCCGATTGAGATTGAGAGAAGAGCTGAATTTTGTATATACCTGAATTTCTCATTTAGAGAGCTGATACGGAACTGGAGATTTATGTGGAGGAAGCACCAGCCATTTAGTGTATTGTTAATTGTGACAGAATGAATTGGTGTTATCCGTACACGATGTACGTGCAAGTGTGTGATTGATGGAATTCAATCAATCTTACATTTTAATTTAGATTTAAGTATGGTTTTATTAGTGTGCAGCAATCATGGAGATTCATGTTTGCTTAGTAGTTGTGGAACGGCATAGGTTAATCTCATGATCAGCATTTTAAATTTTTTTTACCTCTTCTCCGTAATTCAAGCTCACATGATCTTTTCATCTGATGAATAGTGAATTTATCAATAGATTCTGCAAAGCAGTCAAACTGTGAAATTTTACGTTAGCTTATTCGGTGGGTTTTCCAGGCAGATGGTGCCGTCATCTTTATAGACAGCAATATCAGGCCAGAGCATTTGAGGAAGACTTCTTCCATCGAAAAAGAGGTATGTCAACATTGCTATGGCTTGTGGTTGGCGGAGGAGGGAGGTGTGATCTTGGAATATGTTATTCTGCAGGTGTCTGTTTAGGTTGTGCTCCATTACATAACAGGTCCCTCTTGATCCAAGGACTCAAGCCTCTTGAGAAGAAACTAAGATCGAATTTGTTCATAACAGTAAGAAATAGAGGACTATGCTCTGGTTTTGGGTTTCGCTGAATCTACTAGAAGGAAATAGAGTTTACACCTTAATCAGTGGTGGGTTCTATTGTGGTCTCTGCTAGTAAATCATTTACGATATTGTGTAGCTCATAATGGTTTTTCATATACATCTGTGTGCTAAGTTTTTTCTTTTTTCCTTTTTTACAGCTTTTGCTCAAGATATTTTGGTTTTGGTAATATGTTTATGCAGGTGTTTACATATGAAGATATAGCGACGTCATTGGCAGTCCTTCTAGGAGTAGTCCCAAAAGTTGCTGTTGATGAAAAAGCTGCCTCTAAGGTATGTCTTTGTAATAGACTATATTGCAGTGCGTATTGCTGCATGATGACCATATAATCTGAATTGGATACTAAAAGAGTTTTAGCACTTTCGCGAGCTTGCGAGAGTTGCAATGAGTGACTGAATTGCTTCTTGAACTACAATGCAGCGTTTGAAGTGGATATTATTTTTCGTCAGCGATGTTCACAGTAAGCTTGTCTGATTCTTATAATTGAAGGGGTTACGGTATTCGATGTGGTGGCTCCTTTGATCATTATTTATTTAGTTGGTTTGTCTTGACAGATCGACTCTGTGGTGTCACCTAACTTGTTTTATCGACCACGAGCTGTTCTTTCACTAAACATTGGTGGAGTTGAACTTGGTAAGTGTCTTATTTTTCTTCTACTTTAGATCTAATCATTCGAGAACTTGTCCTAGTGTTTTAAGTACTATGTGTACTGAAACTTTTCTTCTCCTCACAGATTCCATTCGCAATGAAGCCACCCTGGATTTGCTTGGCCTTGGATCGTACCAGCAGAGCCCTTTGATAGCAGATAATACACACCCCAGACGAATTTCTGGTAGCCCTTGCTTGTCATTCTGTACAATAGCCTTCTTTTTCATTATTGTGTTCCATCCACATTGTTTAGGAAGACTTGCGCACTAATGCCGAGCTATCTGGTGAAACACCCTCTGCTCCTCTGGTAACCTATGATTGGTTTGGGTTCTTTCAGACGATTACGTGAACGTAGAGGTGTTGACGAGCCTGGATGAAGCTGATACACACATCGAAGTATCTGAGCAAGACTTGGTAAGTTTCACGTGTTCTTTTCCTATCCTATCTGCCTTTCCACAAGAAACTCTTGTTGCACTAATCTCTATTTTTTCAACAAAATGTTTGATAGTGGAGTTGATCAATTATAAATAATTATGGGTAGATTGTTTTTATTTGGATTATTTATCATTAATCATTGTTAATTTTATTGTCAATATTTGAAAATTATTGTTTTTGATCATGCCAGATATCAGATTTTAGTCGAGTATTGGTTGCATAATTATTAATGCTTGTATGTTTATTCTCATCTATCTTACAGGAGTTTGAATTTATAAGTACATCCTACGTCTTGAACGGGGACTCTAAAACAGTGAATACTATATCATGGGATATGAGCAATGGCGAATCCTTCTCCCTAGATATGTCCAATGTAAGATTAAGCAATGGTTTCAATAATAGAGGATCCGATGAGAGTATACTGGTTCCTGTACGTGTTCTGTAGTGATATATAGTTCATCTTTTTGAATCCCAATCGTTTTGTGAATTTTAATGGGTCCGAGGCATTAAAGCAGTAATATGTGCGCAGAGTGCCGACAGACTTTTCTTCAAAGAGTTGATGGAAGTCTTCAGAGGCATGAAGCGGGCGGTTACTTCACAGCAGTCTGTAGAACTGGAACAACCAGCGGATCTTTATTTTGGAACATTTAATGGAATCATAGTAAGTCAATCTTTTTTTTTTTTTTTTTTTTTTTTTTTGCGGCTGCAGGTATCTTGCTCAACTGATTAAGCTGTTTGCTTTTCGTTATAGGAATTTCGAGATCATTATGGGAGCGGACATCAGACTCAACTTGCTTCCAAGTTTGTGCTCTATGCAATGAACCAAGCTCTACAGTTTTTGCAGGCAAACTGCAATGGTGAGGCTTTTTCTTCAGCTCTTGGCTATAAAGATCTTCTCGTCTCTTTTGAGGTTAGATATGCTTACATGTTGGAGGCATTATATCTATGTGTCTGGTACGTAAAACTCTTGTTCTGAGTTCCCAACCCTTTTGTGGCAGATAAACTTGTGGGCGTTTTCACCTTTACGGAGAGCGCCAATGATTTTAAGGTCCTGACTACTGAAAGGGGAGCTCGGTTCCTACAAGCTGCAGCCCCAACCCCAGGAAATGAAACATATCCTGAAGAGATGGCCTTGCGCCTCGGAAACCAGGCTGTTATTTTCTTCACTGTGATCATTTTGCTCGTGGCTCTCCTTCTCTCGGTTAGTCGTGCCCCGACTTTCTACTTTAACAATTCATTCATTTTGCTAAGATTGATTGGAGGCAATCTCGGAAAGACTTATTTATATTCCATATTTAATCATCTTCATTTATTTAATTGTGTCTGACTTGAAATTATATCAAATCTCCCAATGTTTAAGCTTTAGTTTGAGAGGACTTCCAGGTTATATGGAGAAAATGATGGGTTTCCCTACACATGTCAATTCTAAGCAATATCTTTTTGCTGCAGACTTGCTGCATGTTTACGATGCCTTTGACGAAGGACTCGCTGCTTTACTCAGGATTGAAATTGGATTAGGTGGGGAATGCCTCTTTTGATCTCTTTAGATGAGCACATAGAAGGTTTTCTCCTCCCAAATTGATGACATAGCTATTCATGTGTTATCGTGTCGGGGGTTTTATGTATTAAGGAATGACATTGGAGCTTCGATCTGGAAATTTCTTTTTCTTCTGTAGCAGGCGAAGGCAATAGGTTACAATCCTGCACTTCCATCTAATGTGAATCTTTTTATTAATGATTATGGTGTAAATTTACAGCAAGAAGATTGGCATGCTGTACTGCTGTCAGTTGGGCATCTTATGGATGTGCAGAGTTTGCAATTCACTCAGTTGCACCTAGATCAAAATGTTGATTTCGTTCATTTTATGGCGGTTCTCATCTAGAAGCTACTATGCAAGTCATTCTTAGATGCCATGTAGAGTTAGATTGAAGGTGAATTCCAAAGTTGAATCCTTCTAAATTTAAAAATAGTTAGACACGTATAAGTGTGTGCTAGAAATCAATTTCCACGACTTCTGTTTGCCTCCAAACAGAATCTCTCATTTTTTTTTTTCTTGTCTTAACATGATGTACCGAATAAGGGATATAGCCATCGAGGGGTTCATACCACCATACGTAACGAATATTCTGCAAGTGATATTCAGCAGTTCCAGGCCCAGATCATATTTTGTTGCTGAATTCTATGGAGATGTACAATGAAGTTATATATTCTTTTCCTACTTGCGCCTCAATCTCTCCAGAAGGGTTCAAGTTGGAAAGACAAAGTGACGTGAGTATAGTACTGTTATTCTATTTATAGTCAAGGACGTCCTTGACATCCTTTGCAACTGTACGCAGTTCCGAGCTGGTGAGTGAATTTACATGCCTGTTTATATTTTCTTGTCATGCACATACCCCTACTCTACAATTTTCTCACGTGCTCTGCCCTGTAATATCACACCATTTTTGCATGCACTGTAGTTAAGAGAAAGGCTAGTATATTTTCTTGTATTTTGCAAAAAAATTGGTTATCCTGCATACCTGTGTTAAAAGTCAATTCCCGAACAATGCATCCTGCTCTTAGAACATTTAATGACCACTTAAAGGGGAGTAAAGTAGTCCAATTGTTCAGGATAATGGTTCACAAAACTTGATTTTTCTGTTAACGAAGATGTTTGTAATTACTTAGGCAGGACATTGCTGACCTTGCCTTGGATTAAGGTGGATGCAGTTAATTTGGAGTCAATGCTATTTTCCCTCGAAAGTAAATTCAATGGTCCTTAGGTGCTTGTGTTTAGGAAGTAGAAACTTATTTTCACTAACCGGAAGTGTAAATACAATGTATATGTGGTAATAATTATTTCTGTGCAACAAAGTTTGGTAGTTAAAGTTGTGGAGCCAAGGAGGACATGGAAACCTATCAGCAATGATGGACTACGTTCTAATTCAGTCAAGTCGAAATTATTCAAGATAATAAATTCTAATTTGATGTCACAGTTTTTCATTTTTATCATTCACGAGCACCTAAAACTGGTGACTCATGATTGTGGCTTGAAAGAAGTATTTCTGAAAGCTCATTCAACCTAGTGTATTTCAAGAGAGATTCAACGGTACCCATGAGTAACTGAGAATAGTCATAAATTTTCAAAAAATTGAAATAGTGTAAGTTCTTTAAATTGTGGATTACTGTAACTTGATCAATGAATATACTTATCATCCTGAATCAAAGCAGAAGACCACTTGTGACATCCCATGCACCACAGCTGAAAAGAGCAATCTATGACTAGAATTGCAATACGATGCGAGAAAGTATTTCTTAATCCTTTATGCACTACCTGCTGCCAGTTCACCTGTCAAACTCAAAAGCAAACAACCACTCCAGCTCCAACGACATTTTGACCAAATATCAGTCCAGCTTGGTCAGCCAGGGAAGACATTCTAACAATCACAATTTGCAACCTTACAACAAAGGATTGTGCAGAAAAAGCCTCAGATATTACGAAACCTTAGTTGAATAAATCATCACATTCTGGGCATATTCCAAACTGAGAGAGAATGGTAAGAGAGACGATTTCCAGTAAAATAAAAACAGATTTCAGCAATGCAACCAGTTAATGACAGAAAGAACTCAATTACTGAGAAACCTCATGTTAAGGTCTTGTATTACCCTTAGAATAAAGAACACGGCAAATCGATAGGAGTGGACGCCATTTCATATTACAAGCTCAAAATCGGGGGCTAGGTAGAGACCTATTCCTCCTCCTCTACGACTTTGGTTCCCAAATTTCTGAACCCTTCAGCGGGTACCTCAGCAACAGAAACGTACGAGTACAACTCCTCCTTAGCATCCTCGTCGTCATTGCGCTTCCTGGCAATGCGCACTCGGACTCTGGTGGGAACGTTGCGGACACCCCTGCTCCAGATGTGCTTGTTCAACTTAACATCAAGTCTCACATCACTGGTCCCCATGGTCTTCTGGGCAAACTTCCTGATCTCCTTCACTGCCTTGGGAGCCATCTTCTTGAAAGTACTAAGTAAAAACAAAAAACACAATAGGCGACTAGTGAGAGAATGTTCCAGTATCCGCATCCTAACTTCTGTGTCCATAAGTTGCTTGCCTTTTCTCTAATAGGTTTTCACTGTGAGTCCACAATCACAACCATAAGCAAGGAGACGGAACAGCATCATCGCGCAGATCATCCTTGAACTACAATCGCCGAGAGACCGCTGTAACCAGACAACGCTCAAGAAGCCGTTCCTTGCGACGGCGACCGACTACGACCAGATATTAAATCGCACAACAATACTAAACGCGTGGCAAGGTTCAAGTATTGAGGACTGAATGGTTCTGCGCAAAACTGCCACATAACTTAACTAGCTACGACCACACGATAGCAAAAGCACTGTCGATTGCGACAACATTTTCCTCTTATTCTAAAGACTGAAATGCATTCTGAAACCTACGAAACCCACGAGAAAATTCTAAGCAAAAACATAGCTACCCAGAGCGAAAGGGCGAAGAAAGAAGGGACAAGATAGGCAAGATTAATACCAGCCATGCAGTCTCTTGTGGAGATTAATGGTGTACTCGCGAGTCACGACCTCATCCTTGCGGATTTTCGTCTTTTCCACCATGGTTGCTTGATGCACAGACGGACCCCGGATCGGAGACGGAGGATGGCGGTGGCGATGGCGATGGACGACGCGAAAGGGAGATGGCTTGCAAAGCCCTCCGGCCTTGTTGTCCCCCCCCCCCCCCGGGCCGTTTGCCCTAACCCTAATGAATGATATCTGGTGAATGCCTCCACGCCGTTGATATTTTTCATCCATCCACTGAAGCACACCTGGTGTCCACTTCCTCACAGTCCCATTGCCTGCCCCCTTCCCTTGAGTAATCAGTCCATGCACAGAAGTGCCCTCACTGCAAATTTTCAGGAACATATTTGTGTATATGTATGTATATACAGTTTTCCTCCAATAATTAATCCCCCAAAGCTAATAAACCCTAATAATAAAATCCCCAAAAACTAAGCAACCCCAATTAATTACCCCCTCCCCCCTAAAAAAATTTAATAAACTCAATAATTGATAAACCCCAATAATCAAACAAAATTTGGGAAACTGACTCCAACTAGAATTTAAATATATAGAATTTCAGTATTTTTTTTTTTTTGTTATGATGGTTAATAAATTATAATATATATATATATATATATATAGATAGATAGATAGGGAGTTGTTATAGCCACACCTCTCCCAAAGATGATTAATTTTGGAGGGCATGGAACGAGGGATGGAGTTGGGGATGGGAAGAATCAATCATGAGATGGTAATATATATTTGCAACAGATGACATTAATTAGTGGGGGGTAACTATATATACATATCAACATTTTTTAATTTTTAATTTTTTTCTTCTGAAATACTAGTAATTGCGATACACAATACAAAATTTTAAATTTCGAATGTTGATGTAAAATCTTGAAGTGTATTTTTATTCTAAGGACTGATTGAGCTTTTGCCAATTTGCTTTTATAAAATGCAAAAATAAATTACATTCAATTGATATTTACACATGTCAGAACTGTTTGTCTATTTAATGTGATTGAACATGTTTAAATTTCCAATTTACTTTTATAATAATTTAGATTATATTTATATGTATATATATATATATATATATATATATATTCTGACTAGTAGAATGTTTTACAAGGATGCTTCAAAAACCAACGTATATAATGTTATAAATTATATTACAGCATGAAGGAAGATCTTCAATAATTTGTTTTAATTTTTCAGAACTTTTAAAAACTTGTCCAGGATAAATTTATTCAAAAACTATTGTCTTTGCAAATAACTGGATGCAAACATGACATGAATATAAAAAAGTTAAGATTTACAGCAGCCTTACCTTACAACGTGGACACCCATATGTCTCAAGATTCACTATTTTGCAAGCTAAATATGGATTGCAATCACAGAGTTATATGAAAAAAATTACCACAACCTTCATAGAGTCAATGACGATTAATTAAAAATAAATAAAATAAAATACATTCACTTAATTTTAAGCATCAATTGTTTACAAAATAACTTGCACAAAATTGATTTTTTTGACTATTTTTATATTGAAATAATATTCATTTAATTCTTAAGTTAGTTATAGAATATTCTTTAAAGAATCAAAAAATTCATATACATATAGTTTATACATATATGTAATATTAGTAATTATAACTTAAATAAATAAATAACTTATTTGAAAAATCAAGAAATTTTACATAAGCATTTATATACGTACATAGACACATAATTTTTATACAGATATATCAATAAAGTAAAATTAATATTTTAATTCAACTTATCTATTAATTTTAGATAAAATATTTTATGATATGAAGATATTTAATGGGATGATTTTTCAAAGGAACATTAAGATATTTTATCAAGTTTTATTTTTAGAATTAATATCATTTTTCTAAAACATGGATAGATTGAAATTGATCATATTCTATGAAAATCTAGTTGTTTTTTATTATTTATATTTTATTCACATTTGATTTATGTATATATATTTTACAATTTTATAAATATTGTTGCTTATCTAGTGTGTTTTAAGAATATCAAATTTTAATATTTGATATTCATATTATAGAAATACATTATATTATGGCAAGTTAATATACATATTTGTAGAATGTAAGCTTGCTCAATATTTCATCAACTACCTCAAAAGAAATTCTAAGAGAAGGCAAAGGCATTTTTCTAGTCCCTTCTAAGTAGGGAATAGAAGCAATATCTTTGCAATACTACTTACATCTTATTCGGGAGGCACCTAGAATATTTTTTAGACAATCTTTGAAGATTTTAGAAGCTCTTGTGCTAGGCTTAATAGAATCCTAGTTGTTTATATATTGATATAATTATATTTAAATAAATCTATTTTGTGCTGATTTTGTATGTAAGATTTTGTATCTAATTTCTAAAAAGCTTAGGTATTAGAACAAAGTTGAGATAATGCAATAAGAACAAGGTTCTGAAATGAATTTTTTTTGATAAAAATTCAATTATGGCTACCAAAGCTGAAACATTTGCTAATATAATAAAGAATTTACAAGAAACAATAACAAAGAGTGAGAAGAAATCAACTTTAATAATATAAATATAATTTATTTAAATCTCACAAATAAACTAATATATGAAAAAATAGAAAATTATTAATGCTACATCTCCAATTGATATTGCTACACTCCACATGACTTTTTATAAATAACTAGGTAATAGTGTCATTTTTTTGTGTACATTTTTTTTTCTTTGCTTTAGAAAAGGATGGTAGTTAAGAGAAAGATAAGTTACAAACTATTATTTTTAAAAATAAAGTTTTTTCCTTTAAAATTATTTACTTAAATTAAATTAAAATTTTATTTGGCTATATATATTTTATTTATTTATTTATTTATTTATTTATTTATTTATTTATTATATATTTGGATCAATATTGAAATTAAATATAGAGCTACCAAATACATTTTATATCAAAGACAAATTCAATGAAGATAAATAAATGAGATATCTATCAAAGATAGATGAAAAAATAGAAATAAGAATGTATGTATATTCAAGAAAAAACTAAAATAGCTATTTCCAAAGACAAATAAATTAGAGACTCTTGAAACTAGAGTAAAAGTAAGAAAGAAGTTAATAAGAGTAAGAAAGGCCTTACTCTAGCCTCAATAAATACTATTTAACTAAGAGCTATATGGCAATGCTCTATATGACCTCTAATACATGTCCAACTCGTAAGACATGTGACTAACTTACAAAAGAAGTTTTTTATATATATGCCACATGGTTAGCTTGTATCATAAGCTATCAATACATATAATACATGGCTAACTTTTTGGCCATGTTTTCAACCTACCAATTACTTATAGAATTATATAAAAGTGAAATTGAATCCATGAAGCTTTTTTAGAAGATATTATCAAATTTATCCATTTTTATCTATTTTTATCTAATTTGATCTATTTAAATTATTTATATAATTATTAAAATAAATAAATATATATGTTTATAATATTATCCTTTCTTATAGAAACAAGTTTTATAAGAAGCGGTGATCACATATTGATGAAATCTAAGAACAAATAGTTTTGATATTATAAAAAAATAATTATAATTTTTTATCTACATAGAATTAAGGTTGTTTCTTGCAATAGGCATTCACATTATTTTTTTTATTTCTTTGAGCTTCTTTTAATTGTGCCTTCATTGTTGTATGTAGCTCCAATAAACAATTTTTCAAATCTTCTACTATAGGATTATCAACTTTTAAAAAGTAAAAAATATTAAATTCTCAATGATAACCATAATTAACAAAGAAAGATATTTATTGAGTAGAAAAATATACCAAGTTATTATAAGAAAACTCTTCTAATGGCAAAAGAGTTGATTAATCATCGTGATGGTAATTGATAGTATATTACAAATATTACTCGAAAACTTAATTCATCTATTCCATTCGTCTATTAATTTATAGATAAAAAACTAAAGATAAATTTATATCCACCTTCCATATCTTAAAAAAGATTTTTTAAAATCTTAATACAAATTATGTTCTTTTATTTGATACAATATCTCTTGATAATCAATAATAGCAATAGATGTTATTAAAGAAAGTTTAGATGTTCTTTTACTTGTGATAGATTTTTTACATAATACAAAATATGCCATCTTGGTGAAACAATCTACTATCACAAATATAGAGTCTTATAAACTTAAATTTGAAGATCTGGGATAAAATCTATAGAAACAAAAGACCAATATTATTTAGATATAGGTAGTTGTTATAAAACTTTGTAAAATCAATGATAAGGAATTTTTGATCATAAACAAATATCACAAGATTGTACAAAGCCTTTGACTGCTTTCAATATTTGTAGCCACCAAAAACCTTTTGAGATTAATTCTAAGATCTTGTTGTATCTAAAATATCATGCAACTAAAAAGTTGCAAAAAGCTTGAAGAGTTTGTAATCATGCTTCACTTTTTGGAACATATAAGTATCCTTCAAAATAGAGTATATTGTTTTTAAATTCAAACTTGAAAGTATCATAAGATTTTGAATAATTATTCTTAATACCATAAATGAGAGAATTAGAGGAAATACTTGATTGAACTTGATTAAAAACATTTGAATCAAGAATTAATATTAATTTTATTTTTTAAAGATAAAAATGGTTTAGCTTAAAAAAAAAAAAAATTTACTAATCAAAAGTTCAATTTTCTTCTTTTGGTACAAGATAAAAACATATAGAAAGGGCATTTGATAAACCTTGTTATTTTCTTAGCCAATACATAATCTTGAATTCAAATCTTGATAAAAACTTGGTTTAATGGACTTTGTAATAATTTAAAATACTTATTGATATACATTACTTTAGGTTTTTGTAATTTTTATAAATGATTATTGGATTTGAAGTACCTTTTACATAATAGCACTAATCTTAATTCCATTCAATTTTTTTTTAAAGAATAAATGTGTAAGTGAAGTTGCAACTTAAAAAAAGTTCTTAATAAAGTTTTGATACTAATTAGAAAATTAAAAAAAATATTAAATATTTCTTATTATTTTAGAAACTTTAAATCTATGATAATTTGAAATTTCATAAGATCCATAATAAGGCCATCATTTAAAATGGTGTATCCTAAAAAGTCAATTT